ATGTGGTTGATGTTAGAATAGCTGCAATCTTTGATCACATTTTGCAAGGAAATTTTAAGGGTTATGGATGTGTGTGTTTCACAGTTGGGTCCCTCTTCATTATCGGTGTTGCTAAAGAAAGACAGATTCTTGGCAACATGTTGCAAATTCCATTACAGAGGCATATAATAGCTGCAATCTTTGATCACATTTTGCAAGGAAATTTTAAGGGTTATGGATGTGTGTGTTTCACAGTTGGGTCCCTCTTCATTATCGGTGTTGCTAAAGAAAGACAGATTCTTGGCAACATGTTGCAAATTCCATTACAGAGGCATATGGATACATAACAGGAAACTAGCAGGGAATATTGTAAACAAAACAAGTCTATGATCAATGTACGATAGAGGTGGAAGAAGTGAGCAAGATACTGCTAGTCTTTCATGTATTAATAAGTTCTAAAACGGGGTTTTAAAATGGACCTGGAAGCAATGGGTTGTATGGCTCTTTGAGGGGTTGCTTTGCTTTGAGAATGACTTGAGTAAAGCCCCCCTTGAAGATGCTGTCTGAAGCATTCCAGCCCTCTTGCATCTAAGAGGGAAGTGAAGCAATGGCATTGGAGTCCCCCCCTCCCCCCTTGGCTCTGACTGCCTCTTTGGCCCTTCAAATGTCCGGAAGAAGCTTTTTTCTGACACTTGTAGGACCTCTCAGAAGCTCTTCCAGAAAGAACCAATCAAGGTTATGAAACAATATAACAGATCTGATCAAAGTAAATCACATTGCTTCCTCAAGGCTATGTTGCATCATCCTCGCAGTGCAAAACCCATCACTAAAGCAAATTTCAGCTACCTTGCACCAGTGTAATAAACAAACAAATCATTTGGTTGCCTCTAGTTAAGGACCGGATGACACCTTCTTCCCATTCGGCATATAGCAGCCAGCAGGACTGATGGCTTAAGCTTCCTTCAACAATGATTTTGAGGACATGAACATGAAAAGGATGTATATGCATTGAAATAGTTCGAGTTTGTCATGTTGAACACATTTTTATGGTGTTTTTCTTGAAGAAACTTCTTACAGGAACTCCTGAAACTGCCAATCCAGAGTAAGGGCAATCAGAAAGCAGAGGTGTTGCCCTCACTCTTGATTGTCTATGTTTTGCTTCAAGAGTCATCGGGACCAAAATGACAGGTTGCTTAGTAGCGATCACACTGAAGAGAGCAGCTAATGGGGGGAGAATGTTGTCACAGTATAAAGGCAGTAATTTCTTTCTTGCCTTTAACATTTTCTCATGAGTAACCTACATCCTCAGAAAGGGTAGGTAGAATGTCATGTTCACAAAGGGCTGAACAGTCATTGGTCCTGCAGCCCCTGTGGGATTGACTTTGGGAGGGCAGCAAAGGCCACAGAGGGGACAAGGTTTGGAGTTGGAGACATATCTGGAGCACTTTATATTGCCATCTGCATTTTAGAAAGAGTTGCAGTGATTGGGGAAGGACCACTTCGGCACTGGGGTATTCAATCTGGCCTGTCAGAGCAGGGACAGAAAACTTTCAGATCAGGGAATACATAAGTAGTC